GTGAATCTCGATGTGCAGATTTCGTGGCAGGCGCAGCACTTTGTGAACCTCGATGTGCAGATTTCGTGGCAGGCGCAGCACTTTGTGAATCTAGATGTGCAGATTCCGTGGCCGGCGCAGCACTTTGTGAATCTCGATGTGCAGATTTCGTGGCAGGCGCAGCACTGTGTGAATCTAGATGTGCAGATTTCGTGGCAGGCGCAGCACTTGCTGAGTCTGGAAGTGCAGATTTCGTGGCAGGTGCAGCACTTTGTGAATCTCGATGTGCAGATTTCGTAGCAGGCACAGCACTTTGTGAATCTCGATGTGCAGATTTCGTGGCAGGCGCAGTACTTTGTGAACCTCGATGTGCAGATTTCGTGGCAGGCGCAGTACATTGTGAACTTCGAAATGCTCCTATGTACTCGCCTATGTGCTCTCAGATTTGTGCTTGTATGTGCTCTCACATTTGTGCTCTCAGATGTGTGCTCTCATGTGCTCTCATATGTGCTCCCATATGCTCTCATATGTGTGCTCTCATTTGTGCTCGTGAATCTCGATGTGCAGATGTTCTTGAAGGGTTTTGAATTTCAATGAACTTGCCTCCTCTCATATTTGTGCTCTCGTCTGTGTGCTCCTTCTTTCCTTCCACGTGATGCCATGTTCCATCTGTTCCTCTTTACACTATTTGGGGTCCCTTGCCGGTGTAATTGTTTATAATTCTTGTGCTTCCCACGGCAATGCTGAAGGAGTTGGACCGTTTTTGCTCGGCCTTCATGGAAGTGTGCGTGCGCTTGGAAGAGGCCGCGGCCAACACGAGGGAACCATTCGCTTTGGCGCGCGAAAGGCTGTAAACAGATAGGGAACATGAGACGGCGATTGAACTAGCACGACTTGTGATCCCGAGATTGGGCGGCTTTGGACATAAAGGATTTCGTAAACGAATTCAACCACTGAATATGGTTTTTTGTTGCGGCTTCTTGGCGCCTGAGCAGGAAAAGCGGCCAGGTCCAATAGATGTGTCAGCCACTAGAACCACAGAAAGCGAAGCTTGCTCAGGCGGGCTTTGCAAACTTTGTTGGCCTCAGGGACTTCTATGCTTTCATCAAGCTGCTGGACCGTGTTTGTTGCAGGGCCGAGCAAAATCAGCGTCAACGCAAGTTTGCCGCAAGTGGGTAGATTGTGCCAATATGAGTTAAGGGGCCTACTGGCTGGAGTTAGTTTGATATGTTTATTAATCAGTTAATGGATGTTGAAGTTCGAGGTTCCATTTTCATCTAATTACTTTGCCAATGTGAGCTGAGCAGATTTCAGACTGGCTTCAGGACCGCAGTTTGGAGGGTGTTTTGTCCCCTCAGCTCTTCATCTCTGCAGTGCAACGCTCTTTCGGAGGGCTGCCGGACCACTTGGCAGAGGCACCACGCCTGTACCAGCCACTCACTCGTGCGGTGGGATTTTGTAAAATATAGTTACATGGTCCTGGGATCGTTTTTCTATACAGTTCTAGTAGGTTCCTACCAGGAATGCATAGGGAAGTTCCGGGAAGGTGCACGACTATCCTCGCACAAGACCGAATATTATGGGAAACCCAGCCATCAACAAGATCATTAGGCTATATAGTTCTTTCGAGCCTTGACCCCGTGGACAGACCTTTGCAATCCTTTGCATGCCTTCGAGGTGCCTGTCCCAACCGCCACTTGTTCAGATGCTTTGCCCTACCATACTTTCGTATCCTTAAATTCTGCAGACCGACCAGTTTTGGCAAAACTGTTGCAGCACACTAACGTAAATGAACACCTGGCTTCTGGATGTCACTGGTCAGGTGGTCTTGGAGCCTTTCTATCGGCACTGCCTGGGCATTGGCACCTCTGTGCAACGGGTGGCTGTGGCCCAACTGCTCCAGGCAAACTTGGCCGATTTGGCCGTCCCAGACCGCGCGCAGGCAGGGGCTGGAGTGGCCTTTAGTGGCGTCTCAACATTGTCCCCAGCTGCCGACTAGTGCGTTAGATTGCATGGAGGGAAAGCATGGCAAGCAAACCAACAGCCAGACCACTCATGATGACTCACCCAGCTGTGTCATACCCGCCACCCCAACCACGGCGGATCTAGGATCTCAGACCCGTTCAGCCTCGCAGGTGGGCGCCCGGCACCTGATGGTTTTTGGTCCCTCGGCCGCCACGGCGGCCCAACTCTTAGAGGAAGAGCTGGAGACGATGGCATCGGGCCGTCACGTGGCAGTGGTCGTCGGGTCCTCCTTCCCAAGGGATCGTTCGGTGGGGGCGAGTCTTGGCAAGCTATAGCAGCTATAGGTAGAACAATGTAGAACATACATCATAAAATATATACATGATATACAACTCATAAAACATAGAATAAGACCGACGAAGACCTTGGACCTTGGAGAAGTTTGGCAAACGCATTGTGACTTTGAGAGGCTTCAGTGTGCTTTTCTTTGCCACGCTCATGCCTTTGCCCTCAATTGTCCTGCTCGCCCAGGATCTATCAAAACATTGCACGGATCAAGCAAGCCATGGAGACCGGAGGCTGCGTGATGTTGGTTCATGCAGAGGATATCTACGAGGCGCTGTATGACATGCTGAACCAGTGCCGTGGCTGCATGAATCGAGCTTTGGGTGGTACATCATAATGGGTCTGTATCAAAAAAAACCTGTAAGAAGGAGAGTAGACCAAAGCCATCCAAACCAACAAGTGTGATGTACATACCTGTTATGCCATAACATGTCCTGCTCATGGGCACAAGACCACAGGAAGAAAAACGTTCTACTCCATTCCGTGCTGCAGTTGTCAACAAGCCCGGAAAACATGCTATACATATCGCCGCAACTCTCTACATTAAGTCGGCGGTATATAGTATAGAGGCAGTGTGCAACTGCCTTTACTTGCCTCGCATATTGAGTTCACTCGTGTTCACTCGCATCGACTTGATCTGTTGAATGATCTGGGCGATTTCAGCAAAACTCGGATCAGGTTCTACACCCGTGCCCTGGGCCGTACTTTGTGCCGCCTGGCCATTGGTGCTGAGAGCCGCCAGTGTGACGTCCACCCGGCCTTCCGCTGTATCGTGGTGGCCGATGCAGAGAAGGCGATTGCATGACCCAGGAGAAGAATAATCTGTGTTAGAGTTGGTGGTGCTAGGTAACCAGGTAAGTTCACGGTATATTCACCGTAGGCTTACTCACTCATTACTCGTAGTCGTAGTAGGTGGTTCCTTTTGGGTATTGGCAGGGGTTTTGCGTGGGGACAACTGTGCGTTACTGTGAGTTGGCTATGGCTGGCAGGCCAAGAGCTACGAGGCTCCACTATTGAATCGCTTCGAAAAGCAACAGATCGACTTCAGCAGCTTCTTACATGAAGACCTCAAGGCTTTGCTGCCCCAACTGGACACCTGGATGCAAGGCATTGCAGGCATGGCGGACACGGCCTAAGGGTCTGACTTGAGGTTGCGTGTCTTGCATTCCAGGTCCTACCACCAATGACATCCAATGACAACAATGATACCATCATACCGGGAATGCAATTTGTTCGGGATATTGTTATTATTGTTTATATAGAAGCCTTTAAGGCCATGTTCTAAATCATTTTGTAAACCATATAGAGTGTCGATGCAAAACTTGTTGAACATATCGCATATCGGTCCGAGCTTTTTTTGGTGGTAGAGGGGCCAGAATGCCTTCCATCGATGCATGCAGAAAAGTACATTGCTTGTCAATGGGTTTTGGAAGAGGTCATGGGTGATGACAAGGCAAGAACATGTTTTAGGAGCATGCCATTTTGTCCTCGTGGTGTGTGAGACCATTGCCGCAGGTCTTACGATATCCATGGCAGTTTGCCGCATAGCAACCCACCACCCCAATCGCATATGCAAGTTCTTCCTCTCCACCATTTTTTTGCATCGACGCGGTTCTTCTTCAAGCTAGGCTGTCAGAAAGTATGCTCATAAGATTACCCGCAGCTGCTGACAGCGCCCGGTCAGGCGGTGTTTCAATACCTTTGGTCTTCATTGGCGCCTCAGAACACAGCTTGTTTGCCCTTCTTATGGCTGCACAGCGCCGCCACATGGCGGGTGCCGAGGCGCTGCGCTGGGTGCAAGAGCAGCTGCTCAGGACCAGGTTGCTGTTTCGGTCATTTCTCCCCGCACACACACACACATGTATAAATAAAAGAAATATACACACACATATATATATATATATATTTGTATATATAGATGCACTGTATGTTTAGAATAATAAGTGAATCGCATGCATATCCAACAGCCATCCAGATGCGTATTCCTTGTTCATGGACCGTGTCAATCCTACACAACAGGACCTGCACAGCGGAGGCGTGGTGCCGCCATGTGGTGCAAGGTGGAGTGGAGGTCGGTTGGAAAGCCTCAGCACACCGCTCATTCCCTGCATTCCTCATGGAAGCAGACAGCCGAGGCTATGTGTTCCTTGGGCCACGAAGTGTTTGGTTCACTGGGGCTAAGACTGGGCTCAAGAATAGGTGACACCTAAGACCTAGTGGAGAATCAACAGATATCAACAGAGATTTTTGTTGTTGGGGGTACGCCTGTTGCGCTACACAAATCAGCCCAAATCAAATGACAAATCAGAACACATCATCCCACACTTTGCCGTAAAAGTTTGCTCGGTCCAAGGTTGGATTGGCTGCTGTACACCTTCAGCTCTACGGAGACAGCATTGGAAGAGTTAATCACGTGGGACGCCCGAGTGCTGAAACTGGCATCAACATCGTCAGAGGAAGACGCCCAGAGACATGTGCGCAGCTTTTTCAAAGGCATGCAAAAGGCCTTGGTTTTCCAAGTTACGCTCGAAGAAGGCAATGAGGAGCTTTCACGCATGATGCAGCATCTCATGCGCATGGTTGCAAATGCTCGGCGTGATAACCGGCACCCTTCCAAGTGGGTCATTTTTGTTGCGCACATTGTGAAGAGCAGCCGTGCCCTGCGCTTGCCGTTGCACCCTGACTTTACGACAAAAACAGGTTTATCTAGAGTGTTTTCTTGGGGGTGTAGCATGGTTGTGGCATCCCCCAAGGCAAGCCGACATTTTAAGGCCAAGGTGAATGATGAATCCTGAGCATTGCTGTGGGGTGGTTTGATCATGTAGCAGATGACGGGTTGTTTTATGAATTGCCCTCTTCTTCGGGTTACTGACTTCCAGAGTCCATAGAACTCCTACAATGCTCAAACCTCCAAGAATCCTTGAGCCCCAGTTTAGGGATGAGTTAGAGTTCAGTTGCTATAGGCTGCTGTCACCTACCCCAAGGCACTACTTAGGATCTGGCTTTTCAGTGGCCTTGTTGGATGAGCTCGCAGAGCCAAAGCCTTGGGAGGCACGAAGAATACAGGGATTGGCTGAGGGTGTGAACATGTATGAATCATTGACAGAAACAAGCAGTGCAGAGTGCAGAAGATGCCCATTTTTCAAAGCTCATGACTAGGACTAGGCATATGGACATTCAAAGCCAAACACTTTTTGCATTGTGCTCCTGTTTGGAGGAGACGGTCCTGTCCCACACCGGTGGCGACTGGGACAGGATAGTCTCGCAAGAGTTGCTGACAGACATTGCAAGGACCGCCAAGGCAAACGGTGAAAGATAATTATATAACTAGCTTGACAATTAGGATATTTTATATTTTTTTGCTGTTTTGTCAATTCCCCCGCCACGCCGCAAGAGCTGCCTCTCCGGCTCAGCTAGTTGGCGTCTTCAACATCTTCACAGAGATCCAGGCAGGGACCCTTCAAGCACATAGATCAACCTGTAGGAGAACACTAAAGGTAAATTAGATCATTGAAGGGTCCATTTGTCCGACTGAAGGGTTTTGGTTTTTTAGGCTTGTATTGTTAACTGTTGATCATTGCTGGCAGGCTCTTGTCCTCCTTTCTTCGGAAGCCTCTTGACTTTGGGAAGGCGAGGTCTGGGGACCTGACCAGGGTATCTGAGGAAGCAGTCTTGCATTTAGGGCCGCTCCTTGCATTTGATGGGTACCACCTGTGATGGCAAGGGTGAGCCGTGCTTTTGTTGGCAGCATTTTTGGCTCTGCGGTTCTTCGGTTCCGCGGTTCTTCGGTTCCGTGGTTCTTCGGTTGCGCGGTGCACTCCATGGCCGACCCAGCAGCAGCAGAAGTTGAGGTTGACGTTGAGGCGGCTCCTGAGGGTGGTGTTCCCGAAGCCCTTCAGCAGATGGCCGATTTGCTGGAGGCAGCTGAAGACCCTGTGCCTGAAGATTTGGGTGCCCAGGCCGGCCCCTTGGATTTGCCGGAAGCTGCTGCTGCAGCAGTTCAGCACCACAACCAGGTGCGAAACCAGCTGGCTGAGCAAGTGAGGGATGCATTGGGGTCAGCTGTCAACCCTCAGCTCATCCTCAAGCAGAAGGAAGAGATCCAAAAGCACGCGGTGTCATTGCGGCAGGCGCCAGAAGTGTTCAGGATGCACTACGACACGCGCGAGTGCTTCAGCTGGGCTCTAGCAGGGTTCAACCTCATGACCTCAAGCTTTTTTGATGGTGGCCTCAAGAACCCAGAGACCATCCGAGCTTCTTGTGCCAGTGCCTTGCCATTGGTTTCAATGACTCTTTGACTTAGTGGGGCCTCCAGACTTGCTTGAATGTCATGGCCTGCAGCGCATGCTTTTGCAGGGTTTTGGTGCCAGTGTGTGCTTGTTGGTGCTTAGGTTTGACGCTGATGGACGGCTACCTAGTTGAGAGCGCCGAGAGCGCCAGGGATTTGCTGCAGCGCATACCTGCTCGGCACGCAATCCCTCAGAGGTTCACCAACGCCCCTCGATTCTCCAAAGTCTTGGGTTTTTGATTTTTGTAGTTTTTGTAGTCAGTGATTCCCATGATTGTTTAGCGCATTCTATCACCCTGCATGAATCACAGGTTTTGGCTAACATCCGCGAATTGCTGGAGCAGCTCACAGAGGCAGAGGCATCGACTGAGGGGCACTATGTGTGCCAGGTGATCCTTCACCCCTTCATCATGAACGGGGCAGCCAGGGGCTACAACTTGGTGGAGCCCCAGGATGTTTCCCGATTTAGTATTAATTTTAATTTAGAGTATCCAAGATCATCCATCATAACATAATATGCATTGTACTTGCAAGAATGGCAATATAATTTCAGCAGTGTGGTGTGATTTCGCGTTGGCTTGCCCCCTGCAGGAGCCTGCCTGGGCCGGGTGGGCACTTCCGGCTTCCCCCTCAACTGGCAGACTGATGCACTGCAGCCTGTACATGCAGGACGTCCTGCACTACTGCAAGACCTTCATGGACAGGGCTCAGCTTGGTGTGGAGCAGCAGAGCCTGCGGTCTTTAGACATGATGGCGGACGATGAGCCCATAGTGAGCTTGGAAGAGAGGAACAAGAAGATGTTGGACTCTTCTTTCTTCGCCATCATCTTCCAACAATGCAGAGGCTTGCACACCCAGGCAGGCGTGCAATACAAGGCTGACAGCTTGAGCGTGCTGCGGAACCATGACCTGATCATCAACAATACGCTGCAGCCAGGGGTGTCTCAATTCTTTGATCCTGGCGAGGTGGCCGGACCGAACGCTATTTCGGTATGGGTGGCCGCAGAAGGTTTCTTTTACGTTTTGCGTTACACTGCGTGCCCCGTCGCCCAAAAGAAGTTCACGACTCCGCTATGGGTCCTGGAGGCATGTGGGGGGGGGGGGATGGCGGCTGAAACAATTCGGGTTATATTGTTCAATTCACTTCTTATTAATGAGGCTTTTTTTTGGCGCAGCGTGTGATTCGCGACAAGATAGCATTCAGTTGGCCTGGCAGGTGGAGTGCTTCAAGGGGGATTTCGTGGACGAAGATTGGGTGTATCGCGGCGGGAGCCGCAAACAAGTGGGCGTGTTGTGGACAGGGCCGTCTTCCGATGAGTTCCAGCTCGTCTGGGATGGGATGTTGGTTGATCTTTGGAAATGCATTATACATTTTCTTTGAGTGACGGGGCCCCGGGGGGCTGGAAAATACGCCCGCGCAGACTCATTAGCGAGCGAATTCTGCTGAACCCATTTTTTGTTTCTAAAACAAACTTCTGATTATGTTGTTGCCCTTTGTGGCGTAAGGATCGGGCACTGATCTCCAGGAAGACCAAGAGTGAGACTGTCTTGGCCCTTCGGCTGACTCGCTCAGCGGATGCTGTGGGCAGGCCGTATCAGTTGCATCTGGCGCGCTGCAGCAAGTATCCACTGGGCCTGACAAGAGCCTTGATCCAGCCAGCCTCAGCGCATCCTCGCTATGACTTGAATCAGATGAGGGCGACAGGAGATTGGGGCTATGCCCAAGAGGCGCACCGTCAGTGGTCCGGTCAGTGGGGAGGACAACCTGCTGGCGGCTTTCGAGGTGTCTAATTATGGTCCACAGCCTGTGCAGCCCAAGCCACGCCCTCCTGTGCCGCCATCCAATCAGGTGCCTCAGACAGCTCCTGCTGCTGTGCAGCCGCAGTCTTTGCAGCCTGGGCAGCAGCAACAGCCGGCCGCTCAGCAGCAGCAGCAGGCCCCATGTCCAGCGCAGCCTGTGCAGCCTCCATGGGAGCAGTATTATCAGAATCAGAATCAGGGAGGCTCCCACTATGATGATCCATGGTCCAACTGGGACTGGCAGTAAAGACGTCCAGGTCCAGCATTGTGGAAGGCATTTTGCAGCATCTTTTGCATTGGAACCAGTACCTGTGCCAGCGGTCCAGCGGTTCAGCGGTTCAGGTGACTGGAAGCATTGGCCTGTGCGTTGCTTCGCGACAAGATGTGGAGACACCGACACGCGGCTCTTGGAAATTGAGCGATTTCCTTTGGTTCCGCCCTGCAGCCAAGACGCGCAGTTTCAGGATCCACTTGACTGATGATTTGGCCTTGAGCCTCGTCAGGCACAAATCACTTTGATTTTTTCCCTCTATAGACTAAGACCTTGCTTGTTGAGCCTATTCACTAATTTAATAATCCTGGAGAGCCAGGTCTTTGGCAGTTTCATCAGCCTTCAAGACTTGTGCAAAATTGCCTGGTTCAGACTGGGAAGTAACAGTGGGTGGGTCTGTGGGAGAGCCAGCCTCCCGGAAGCAGGTGCCCCTGAAGAAGCTAGCGACTCTAAGAGACCTAGTCTCTTTCTTGCGCGCCATCCGTTCATTGAGACGGTCACGGGGTGTTTGTGGCAAATTCATGCGAGCTGGTCAATGAGTTGCACCAGCACTGTGTATAGAGAGGGAATCGCATGATGGCTCACACACTGCTTTTTGACTTCGCTCAGCGGGTTTGATAAAACAGTGCCAGTTGGAATACACTTACAGTTTTTAAAAACCAGGGGTGTAATGACTAGAGGATTTCCGTAGTGAATTCACAAACTCAGGTCCCAGCCATCGCCACTGGGGTCTTCCATCGGCTTTCACTTCCGGTTTTTAAAAACCATTGGTGTATTGAAAGGTTTTTTTCTATGTCAATTCACTCCTTTTCCTTTCAGAATACACTCCTGGTTCGCAAAAACCGCGGCTTGTTGCAATCCAAGGGTGGATTGATTGATGTAAAGGTTTTTGCATTGCAAGGGTCAGCTGTCAATCCAAGGGTGCTCCATTGCTTTTAAGGGTTGAGTCATCGATTCTAAGGGTCGTGTTAGTTTAGAGCATTGTTCTCATGTGTTGGTGTAGTTTCCAGCAGCCTACGCAGTGTTGGTCAACCTTCTTCTGGGTTTCCATTGTTCTTGACATTGACCTCGGCTTGCCAGGCTGAAGATGCCGCCAGGGCCCAAGCCCATGCCAGCCCGCAAAGCTGTGAAGCTGTGGCTGCAAAGCCTGGGGAAAGGCGTTGCCAGTCGGGAGATGAACAGGGCACCAAGATTAGCTGCTCAAGTGACTTCCTTGCAAGTGACAGCAACAGTTCAATATTGGCCAGAGAGCTTTCATCCTTTTACTGTCGTTCCGCGGTCCTGTGGTTCAGTGGTTCACTCAGGCAGCCCAGGCTTGTGTGGACAGCAATGACAAAGAGCTCTTTAACCTCCTTGATTTTTTGCTTCGGGACTTTCCTCCTGAGAGAACCCCAGCTGTGGCTAGGCTGTTTGTTGGGAGAACTGAGAAGCAAAGGGCGACCACACTGTGCAGTGTGCTTTTGCTCAGGCTTTGCTGGCTGGCTACTTGCTGTACCGCTCAAAGTGCACAGTCCCCACTTTGGATCATGCCACTCTGGCAGAAGGAAACAGTCATGTGTTGACAGGCCCCAGACTACCTCACTCAGTCAGGCTTTGGCCACCAATCTGAGGACCCAAAGAATCTGGTATTGCGGCTGCTCCATTGCAGGAACCCTTTTTTGAACATCAATGGTCAGGGCTTGACTTTTCTGCAGAGCTGCCATGGGTGTTTCCTCCACCCTGCAACAAAGACGAAAGGACGCTCTGCCACAGTCATGCTTAGTAACTTACATTGCAATCAACTAAATCATTTTGCTGCTGTGGCGCTCCTTTTGTGGCTGAAGCTGTTGCAGGAAAAGTATCACCCACACAGACACACTTGAGACACAACAAAGGCAAGAAGAAGCAAAAGCTAACTGGATGGCAACCTTTTTGGGTGGTTTGACCGACAAAAGAAATGCTTCCTGTGCCGGAACAGAGCTGGCTCGACAATGTGGAACCGAAGAAAATGGGCTCACACTAAGCGCTTTGCGAGCAAATACATGGCCATGGAGCCAAAGCATAGGTATTAAGCATCCACAAAGAAAAGGTCTTTGCGCCAACTCTCTACACTCAAGAGCCGGCCACAGTTGTGAAGGACCTCTTCAGCAATGTCCTTGAAAACCTGGTGGCCAGGCAGAAGGAGGAAGAGGAGGACCAGCCACTCGAGCCAGCGAGCGACCACGAGTGATTGCAGTTCAGCGGTTCTGCGGTTCTGCATGCCAGCCTGCCAGTGGCTTTGCGGTCCAGCCTGCAGTCTATGCCACTGCGCCCCCTGTCAGCTGCCGAAATTTTGATTTTTAATTTTCCATGATCTGCGAGCTATGAGCTGCTGCTGCTGCTGCTGCTGCTGTGAAAAGGGCTCTGCAAATTTTTTTCCGCTGCGAGGGTTCATGCACCATGTGACGCATGCAAGTTAAGTGAATAAGCATCGCCCTTACAACAGCCAGTTCACCTTTCCATGCAGTCGTTTTTGCCGAGTGCGCGTCTAAGGGTCCAAATATGAGACTGAAGGGTGTTTTTTCTCGGTTGTCACAAGTGGTTCAGAAGTTCTGCCGTTCCTTTTGGCGCCTCCTTCCCTGCCATGCCCGTGCTGCCATTCCGCCTGAGAGGGAAGCAACCCTGGCCCCAGCGAACAAGCCCACTCAAGGCCAAGAAAGCTGCAATGAAGACTAAGAATCAGAAGCTAACAGGTCGTGCCATTGGTGTTTCTGAAGGCATTGTGCCCAAGGCAAGAAAGCCTTTTGCCTTGTTTGTGCAAGAGAGGAGCAAGCTAGGGAAGGGTGCTAGCCGTGAAGATTTTGCTGCTGAGATGCGTGGCCTTGGCGCTTCTTGGAAAGCTTTGTCTGACGAAGCCAAAGAGGCTTACAAGTCCAAGTCAGCCCTAGAGTTTAGACAGCAGCGGAATTCAATGCGGCTGCACGGATTGCCAGTTCGAGGCATTTCTCAGAAGCCACCCAGCTGCCATGGTTCGGAAGACAAGAAAGCTGTGGACTCCATTGAGAAGCTTGGTGCTTACAAAATACTTCAGCAAGATGGTCAGGAGCACAGCTGGCAGCTGCGAGGGTTCCTATGGCTCGGTTCTGATGGCTGTGGATGACAAAGGACGAAGGTGTGCACTCAAGATCTTTAAAGGCAAGCATGCTGCAGAGTGCTTAGAACACGAGGCTTCAATGAACTCCCTTGTGCAGACCCGTGCGAAGCCCTGTGACCTGCAGTGGTTCCCGCAGCTGTACTTTTCTCAGGTCATCAGGAGGCCGTTCCCATACTTGGCCCTTTGAGTACTGCGGCTCCAGCTTGCAGGCAGTCCTTTTGCAAGGACCATTGGAGCCTCAAGCCATACCCATCATCGCTTTGCAGTTGAAGTCTGCGCTGTGTGTGCTTCATCGCCATGATGTGGTGCATTTAGATGTCAAGCCCTCCAACATTTTGTGGAGTGCAGACACTTTTCAAGCCAAGCTTGGTGATTTCGGGATGTCTGAATGCACCAAGCAGCCAAGCTTGAAGCTGGTGAATTACGTGACTGCGCTTTACCGGCCCCCTGAGCTGTGGGATGTGTCTCTTCGTGATCTCGCCTACCACTTGGTGGCTGCTGTGGATGTGTGGTCCTACGGGTGTGTGATGTATGAGTGCTCAACTGCACGCCCCCTCATGCTGCCCATGCATGGAAACGGTAGTACTAGGCACACTGTGCAAGTGTGGTTCCGAGATTGGCAAAGCCTAGGCCGTTCCAGTCTCAGGCAAGTTTACGCAGGCAATGATGCACGGCGTTTGCACTGCCGCCTTTTGCGAGCAGGTTGCCTGGTGCCCAAGGTTTTGCGCGCTCTTCAACCAAATCCTTCAAAGAGGGACTATGGCTTCTGCTGAATGCAGGTAGCCAAGGAACTAGCAAAGTGGGGTTTGTCTCACAATGCAGTGGGGTGCATGTGAGTAAGGGGTTAGATTGCTCTGCACTGCGGTTCTGCGGTCCTACCATCCACGGTGATGCACAGCTGCAGGCAGAGATTTCGCAGGGTCCAGAATAAAAGAATGCGCTCGCGTCCATGTTTGCGCGGACGCATTGGTTGCTTCCCAGACAGCTGACGAAATGTTTGAAGATTGAGATTTCTATCCTTCTAAGATGAGGCTTTAACACGCTGAGTCTTTATATCAAGATGCTTGACGCACTAAGATCCGCCTGTCGCGCCCAGGTCACCTATGCGGCGCTGTGGTTCTGCGACGCATCTGCGAGATATACAAAGGGGCGAGAGTGACAGCGCCGGGCGGATGCCCAAAATATATCAAAATATACCCAGATCCCTTAATATTTTTCGGGACCATTGAATTGTCAACCTAGATAAGAAACAGAAATTGACTGGTATTCACATTAGTCACTAGAAACATGAGTAACAACTGAACTGAGATATTTGCCATGCATCAACTCATCAACAGGCAGATTGACAACTAATCATGTAACTAATCACGATGGCATTCCTGCATGGCTCGGAGGAAGAATGCTTGGAAGCTCGCTGCAATGCCAATGACCAGCGGCACAGATGGCTATAGTGATGAAGTGGTGCAGCGGATTCAATTGAACAGGCTCGGCTAGCGGTGACATCCTTTCAGAACGACCACCTCTCTTCGTCCCAGAATTGTTGAACATTCGGCGGTGTTTTCATTTGTATTTGCACATCGAAGGGCCGTTCCAACAGCTTTACCCTCTCATGTCACCAGACTGGACCACACTTTGACAGCGCTTTTTTGCATGTCAGCAGGGCTATTCATACGTAGTCAAAAACATTTCGAGGCATTTCGGGGTGCGTTGAGCTTTTCCGCGGAGGCAGCATTTGCTCGAGCTGCTACAAGACCCAAATCTCAGAGAGGAGCTGCTATACTATAGCCGCTTGGGCTTTCCGTACCATACATCATTTCACCGTTGGAGACTTGCATAGTTTAAATATGTTTAAATTGTGGACAGATGCGAGACTAGTGAGGCAGCACATGCTCAGGCACATGATGGCCCTTCTCTCTATATGATTATATGGCATGATTGGCATGCTCGAATTACAACTGGCATGGTTGTCGTTGTCGTCGTTGTTGTTTATGCTTTGTCTAGCTGAATTTCGGCTTGGCTTATGATGCCTTATGTTTAGCTCTTGCAAGAACATTATTGTGCATTGTCACAAACCCGAGGCTTGCACAGCTTGTCGCAGATGGACCGCTTTGATGCTGGTTGGCAGGCCATGACCTTCCCATGTATGGCGTAGAGATGCATGATTTGCATGATGGAGGCGTCGATTGAAGTTGGAGTTGGAACGCTCCTAGACTTGGATGTGGCCTTGTCTCAAACATTTGGCACATCCATCCTTATTACTGTACTGTAATCTTCTTTCGCCTTCCCCGACCCTTGGAACTGGGACACCTTTCACCTTCCATCACCTTCTAAAGCAACTTTCCTCCTGTACAAACAGATTCGCTTTCCATTTGGGCGTTGTGCTATTTGTAATTTGCAGGCCAAAATCAAGGACAGCGAGATTTGTCGAGCAGGATCCTTCAGGCGCTGCCCTCCGATGGGCAGGAGTGTGCTCTTCTTCTAAAACTAAAACAACCTTCCCCCCACGGTGAATTCCGTTGGTCGTTGAGGATGTTCAGAGCTTTTTAGATTTGTGGCTGCAAGATTCAAGGCAACGATATATACTTTTGCATACTTTTGCCTTCCAAGCGGCTTGGACCCAAAGACCAGCCCTTTGCTTTGCAGATCCTATTTTTGGTGTCAAGGATTTATCACGATTATATACTGTAATCATTTGTAATCCAACAATCCAACTGGGGAGAGATTGATGTGAGGTCCAGCAATGCTGCATGAATGTCTTTGGTAAAGCCTTGGCTTGTGGCCCATTGCGGCATGTAGCGGCATAATTGAGATTCAAACATGTTCACAGTGCAACATTCTCGGTAGAGGGTGCCTCTGTGAAGATCCCACTTTGTTTCCTTTTTGGTAACCCTGTAAATCCTTGTGACCTTAACCGCACCCGCGTGCCAATCTCCACATGTGGTTGGAGCCATTTGCTCAGCCCTGCTGGTCCCAACCTGGTTGAGGCATCTCTTGGTTGTTTGGCAGGAGAGCTCAGATCCGATGCTTGGAGCTGAAGCTGACCACGCTGGTCGAGCGCTTTCTGATGATGGTGGCCGTTGGTAGCACAGGAGAGGTACTGAACCGGTGGAAGTACCCCCCCCTCAGACGATATTGGGCATGGAACATTGCATGGTCCAACTGTCCAACAAGGGTTTTTTCTTTCTTGCTTTCATGCCTGAGAAATGGAAGATTACACCATATATGGCTAGCTAGCCACACGCATGTCACAGCGACAGCATCTCTACATGCCTTTTTGAAACGTTTCCTAAGTATTCTGGATTCGCACACTGTGGCACACTGTCATAACCTCGTGAGAGAGGAACGCGTTCTTCTCAATGCTGTGAACAATTCCATGCTTGCTTTGTCGTGCTTGGCTAAATGCCAAATACACATGCTTGGCGGAGATCGTTTATTGGTTTCCTCTTTTCATCCGTCTCGAAGTCCGTGAGCAACTCTTCCCCTGGACCCACAGAAATGTTTGTCAAGCTTGTTTTTTGAAAGCACCAACGCGACGAGTTGCAGATGATCAATGTCTTACACCTTCATGACACTTGCGAATTCACTTGCGACACTGCAAGGCTTTCTATAGCTGCTATGGCGATACCAATGACCTTACCACACATAACAATGATTTTTGAGCGACGCAGATGTGCTCATGAGAACTGTGAACAAGTTCAGCGAGTGAGTGCAAAACATAAAAAAAAACCGATAGCGGCCAACCCAAAATACTTTGGGCACTGTGGAAACAAAGAAGTTTCGTCCGCCACTCATATCCACCCTTGGGCTATGTGTTCCAGGCCACAGCTTCTTCCTGCCACCGGACCTCCCACAGCTTTGGCAAAGTGCTCTCAGAAACGAGGTGCTGAGTGAGCGAAATGATTGATTGTGTGAAGCGATTGAGCATTTTTGCAGTCCAGGATTGCATCAGCAGATCAACTAGCATACTCACATAATTTGTGAACATCTTCTTCCATCAATAATTATCCAATTTTCCCTTTTGGGTATGTGCAGCAGCGGATCCGCAACCCATCTCAGCAGCCTTTGTTTCATGCGCCTGCTCCTTAAGGGCCTAAAGAGTCGCCTGAGGGTTGCGGTGTCCAGTTCTCTCCTTGAGGCACTCAGGGAGGTGGCAGGAACGGCAGAGATTGACGGCAAGCTGCTGCTCAGCAGTGTGGAGCCTTGGCAATGCACTAAAAGTGAGGGAGGCGAGTGGGATGTGGGAGTGGAGAAACAATTGGGAGACCTTGTGGTGTGAGTTTTATACATTTTTTGGTTTCCCTTGTCCAACGTCCCGTACCTGCAGTTGAATTGGCCAGTCCATTTTCCCTTGGCAAGTGTGGGATGGTCAATTGTCACCCTTTGCATGCATCATAGTCTTAGTTAACAATACTTGACTTATCAATGTCAAACAACTTTTGGAGGGAGACATTTGCCGGGGTGAGGATGACAAGGGTTCTTAGGCGGGAACCTTCAAAGCAGTGGATGAGTCAATGAACAAAGTCCTATTCCGCAACTCTCCATTCTTCTGAAACTTTTCTTCCGCAACTATTTGGTACTCTTCCGCAACTACTCTTCAGAAACTATTCTTCAGAAACTGTTTTGCGTTATTCAGAAACTATTTCGCGATCTTCAGAAACTATTTTGCGATCTGCAGAAACTTTATCTTGCACGCTTCAGCAAGTATTCTTCATAATTTCCACATTGTATCCAACTTGCATGAAGGAGCACTGGGGGGTGGGGGGGTTGGGTGGGGGTGTTATTGACGTACCTGGTGACGAAGAATTAGTTTCCGAAGAAAACCGTCAAGTTTCCGAAGATTAGTTTTCGAAGAAAACCATAAAGTTTCCGAAGATCACCTTTTAGTTCCCGAATAAAACTTTGACCATGAGTCAATACAAAGCAGCCCTGAAACCACGGTAGGTCGAACATTTTTGGCAGTCCCTTTGGGGTCGTTGTTTTTTCAACCAGGTAGCTAGAGTCTTTGAGATTCGATTCGCAGAGATTTGGGTATGTGAGTGTCAAAGATTCATGAGCCTTTTTTGTTGCGATCCCAAAAACTCACTCCTTTAGAGCTTCCTTTTGCACCCTTTGCACCTCAATTTGTCGGGTCGTTGAGCACTGCAGGCCTCATGCCGAAGCGACCTTCGCTGTCCCTTTGGGGTAGCCTGGCGCGCTGCGTTGGACGGGGCATGTCGTTTGGTGCAGGCACCTTCACTGCACAGAAATCAAGTGGTTCGGGACACTTGTTGGTGTCGAAGATGAGTGCGACGTGGACATGTTGAAGAAAAGTCGCAATGACAATTATATAATGTTTCAAACGAGGGAGGGAGAGAGAGAGAGAGAGAGGGGGCACACGTGTGCGTGTTTGACGAGTCATGCCCACCCGAGAGGAAGAGAGAGTGTCCTTATCAATCCTACTAATGATCACGCTTTTGTATTCGTTATAGCTTTGCTTTGTGTTTGGGTTTGCGGTTTGATGCATTCAGCACGGAGTTTCAATTAGCTGACACGCAGACACACTCTGACAATTGTATTCAGTTACACTCAGTTCCCACGTTGGG